GGAATGTGCTTAACCTAGCTTCAATGGGGCAGTCACTTGTACACATGCAGAAAGGAAAAAAAAAAGAAAAAGAAAAAGGAAAAGGAAAACCATCTAGGGCACAGATTTCATCTTGCTGTTCTATCCATCAAAATCTTTTATTTGCAGACTCCCATCAATAGACATTGCTTTTCTGAAGAACCGAAATGCATCTCATAAAGTAGCTATTTTCGTGAGGGCTGTAAACTGGCATTTAAGTTTTTACAAGATCCCAAACAGGACCTCACTCATCAGCATGCTCAAGTGAAAGCTGACTCAAAAGCTGAGGAAAAATATGTGAGCCCCCAAAACAGTTGTATACATTTGTGACCTGAACCAAACAAGGACCAACTGGAACACCTAGGCAAGACAGGGGAGGTTCCAGGGACACACGGACATCCATGACTACTCCTGACTGCACTCTCCTCTCCTCGGCTCCAGTCACATCTTTGAGTCTGTCTCCTCCACTCCAATGCTTCCTTTGTTCCCACTCACAGACACATGAACTGTCTTCCATTTAGTTCTGTCACAGAGTGTGGAGTTTTGAAAGATTTATTTAACTAAGACACTAAGGCAGAAAGAAAGAGGGAAAGAAGGGTTTAGAGAAGGAAGGAGGGAGAGAAAGAAGAGAGAAAGGGGGAATGTGGAAGGAATAGAGAAGGGAAGAGAAAGGAAAGATGGAAGGAAGGAAGAAGGAAGGAAAAAAGGAGGAATAAGGGGGAGGAAAGGAGGGAGGGAGGAAGGGAGGAAGAGAGAGGGAAAGAAGAAAGGGAGGGAGGGAGGGAGGAAGAAAGGAAGGAAGGAGGAAGGAAAGAAGGAGGAAGGAAGGAAGAAAGGAAGGAAGAAAGGAAGGAAGCCATAGAAGTAAAGCATTTCAGAGTACAGGCTTCTGATGTCATCCATCTTAACCAGAAGTTGGACATTTATTAGCTTGGCAGTGAAGCCTCTAGGGGGCATACTTTCTGTTGGGCTCCCACTTTGGAGGGGCCCTGTGCATTAGTCTGGGGCCATCGTGAGTTACTCTAAATCTACTCAAGTCTGTCATTGGCTCCTAGATTTGCATCTCTGCTTTAGATTAGTATAGATCAAGTTACTTTTTGATTTTACAAATGAGTAGAGCTTTTGGTCCATCTTCAGAGCACAGAGTATCACTGTAGAATTCACAAGTGATAAAGACTCCCCAGAGCCCACCTTGAGCCCTAGACCATGAGCCCAGATTCTCTCTGGGAATGGTCAGCTGGAATTGTTTAGTTTTGTATTAGTATAAAATAATAAATATATTTCTGTTCAAGGAGAGAAGGACATTTTTCCATAGAGACATGGTCAACTTCATACCACACACTTTTTATTTTTAACTTCTTCAAAGTTCCTGAGTTTTTGACTTGGTACTGCCAGTTGACCCATACTGACTGTGCCAACTCAGGCAAAGTCATCCTGAAGGAGAAAGCTTTTAGTAATATTGGAGTTGAGTGCTTGACCTGGGAATCAAATTTTTGTAAGACTGGGGCTGTTGGGATTTTGGGTCCGGCCAGTGACTCTCTCGATAACCTTGTACTTCAAAGGATCTAGAAATTGTGGAAAAACCAGGGCATCATTGATAGCAAAATGTTGGCTTTTGAACTGCTGGATAAGGTTATAGATTTTTAAAAAGTAGTACTTTCAGACAATTTAGGCTTTAGGAAGTTGCTATGCTCTAAAATTAGTAAGTCCTCAGGAAGAAAGAATATAGGTTGTCTAAGCTGCTTGAGTCCCATTTTCTTTCTTTCTTTTTTTATTTTTACATGGAATAACATTATATTGTACTCACCTAACTAGGTTGCTTGTCTTTACAGTAAAATATACCATTCTTAGAAACCATCTAGTACTTTGGAACATTAAACAATGTGACCAAACAAGGTCATCAATTTTAAGTTCATCTTATATAATAACTCCAAAAGAATCCATTAGGTTCCCCTACCATATTTTTCTATAATTTTAATTTTCTTATTCCCAATTTTGATTCTGGTAGGTGGTTGCTCCTGCAATGATGACATATTTCTAGAAATGTTGTCCTTATTTTGGCCAATAAAAATATTGTGGGAAATAATTCTCTCTGTAGAATCTGTAAGTATATGTGAACTTATTCTAACACAGGCACAGAATCTGTGTCTATGTGGGTCAGCTTTTAATTGGATGACTCTTATGAACGCTGGATGTTTAATAGAGAGGCACCTGTTGCTCTAAATTCTGGGGTCGTACTTTCTCTCCCTGAGTGAGTTAGAAATATTTTCTGTCATTAATGAACATTTCCAAGGGGACTAAAAGACAAAAGTCTTTCTGGGGAAGTAGCCTGGCCTTGGTTTTTCACTGACTACTTCTTTACAGCTCACCATTTATTCAAAGTAACATATAAAGGAGCCTGTCCTCTATGAAACCCTTGATCTACTGTCACTAGAGTGTCCTCTTCTACTGCTCTGGGACAGGGCCTTAGGATCTTTGTACTTTCCAGGACCTTGCCAAACTCTTGCGATCAAACAGAAATAGCTAAGAAGAACATGTAGCTCTTCATTTTAAAAAACGCTACATCTGGCCCACAGGGTACATATATCAAGCCATTTCACAATGGTTTGTTGAATGGTTTGTTTCTGGACTTTCAAATTAAACCTGGCATTAGGAAGTAGCATGGATTTGGGCACCCTGTGTTTTGCATTCTTGTTGACTTTCTTCCACATTTTTGATTTGAGACTGTAATTAGGCAGGTACAAAATGCAAGATTGCCCTGCCTTTGCACCATAGTAAGCTACTTCTCTGGAATTCTTTGCTCCTTAGTATCTCTCATGAAGACATCCTCTCTGCCATACTTCTTGCTTTCTTCCTAGAGGAAACCTTGTGTTGGCTCTATCTTTTCTCCAGCACAAAGGAAACTAAAGTCTTCCAGGAGAATGAAGGCCCGTGCTCTGGGATGTAATGGATTGCTAGCCCAACTACAAAACAGGAATGCCTAGAAGTAGAGATGGCAATAATCAAATGTCATTCTGGGATGTTCTCTGGATATTGCCCTTGCAAAGCAAACTAAATTATAAGGAACTGTTAAGAATTAAAAAAAGGACACACAGGTCTTCCCCCAGGATGACCTGGACATATCAGCAACAGCTTTAACTGCAAATGCTCTCAGCAAGGAAAAGCAAGGTTGGGCGCTCAAATTATGTGTAGAATAGCAGAAATAAAACAATAGTTGGGAAGGCAGGAACAGAAACAGCAGGGCGGGTAAGCTTGGCTGAGGCTACACTGCTGGGAAACGTGGCGTAGCCATTTAACACACCTACTGCCAAACTCTTGGGACTAACTACAGGTCTTTAATAAGACCCTTATAAACCACTTTTAAGACTTAGGGGCAATTCACAGTCCCCCACATGCAGCTCATTCGGCATATCTCTCTAGATGAAGCAAGGAAAGACTTCTTGTTACCTCAGTGACAATGTCCCTCAAGTCTAGGCCACGGGATGCTTCTGTCAGTGAAAGGGGACGGTAGAAATGTCCTTTGGGTATTTTGATGATAAAAATGCTTAAATGGAATTCAACATGGCTCACTTTATACTGAATTTGTCAACATGGTGGGTAATATTATATTTTGTAATATTATTTTTTGTAGCCCTTAGGCAGCCTCCTTTGCCCTCTTTTGCACTGATATAGGATTTGGTGTCCATGACACTTGGTGTTCCGGTTAGATGCTTTGGGGTCTGTCTCCTACACTATTTCTAGTGTCCAGAAAGCTCTTTCTTCTCATCTTTTTATATCAAGCACTTAGCACATTTCTAAGGATCCAGAACTCACTCAAGTAATGTCTGCAAAATTGAAAGACAATTGGTTAATGTGATTTAGAAGGAATATTTTAATGAGATTGCTGGTTCATCTGAATTATTTGGACTGTGAGAGATTTAATGGAAGGACTGTTAATGTGTACAGATGGAGTGCAATGTTCTTCCAATATTTTAATTTGTTGGCAGTGTGAGAGCAAATTGGTAGTAAGATGTGTGACAGCTACATAATGAGGGGGACGAGGGTGAGAAAACGTCCCCCATGTCCTGCTGCTCTAACTGGATTATGGTCAAGTAAAGCATCACAGAAGCAATCATTGCTTTCTAAATACAGAAGCAAGGTTTGGGGATATTGTAGACATGTTTTGTGGGGAGTGCTTCAATGCTTATTCCTTGAATGTAACTCTGAAGACTCCGTAGGTTGCTAACATTACTCCATACTGCATTGATGTGTGTGTGTGTGTATATGTTTATGTATATCTATGTATCTATACATCTGTGTATCTACTACTACATTACCACATATTGCATTGATAGATGTGTACTGCTTTATTTCACACAACACTGAAATGCAAATACCTGGTCCATGTACTTTACCAAAGCAATGGCAAGGTCAAAGATGCTGGTCAGTAAAGGACAAAGGATTTCTCCTGCATAGAGTTTCATCTTTGAAAGAACTCCCTGCCTCACATTGTAGAGCAAGGGGTCTACACTGAACCAGGCTTCAGCTCAAATTTCTAATTTGGGAAAGCATGTGTTTTCTTCTTCACAATGCTTGTTGACCTGTACATAAGCCCTCAATTTCTGCCTCCAGGCAATAAGATAATTATCAGCAAATCTGATAGCTATTTTCAAAGAAAGCCATCATTGGTGGCTTTGCTGGAACCACTGAAAATTAAACAGAGTGGCGTTGAAAAACCCATGAGAAATTAATTTTTTTTGTCTTCTGATAGCTAGGATTTAGGGGACTTTTAAGGGGCTGATTTGCACTCAGTTTCTGATGGTCTGAGATAGGAATATTTTTATTCCTTTTCCCCTGGGGCTCTCCAGTCTTGCTGTGGGAGCACCACAGAATCAGGCAGCTGGTGGACGTGGCTCAGAGAGAGGCCGTTCCCCGTGGGGTGTGTTCTCTGGCTGACCTCTCTCCAGAGACTGCACAGGGTGGACAGAGGGCCCTGATCCTACCTCTCAGCCGCTTCAGCCTCTGCTCCCGCCGCCTTCTCCGCACCACTAGCAGGAGAACAAACAGCAGCAGGACGCCCACCAGGATGCAGGAGATGGTCATCAGCATCTTGAGCCCTTCGTTGGTCGTCAGCCCTTCTTCACTTTGGACGACTGACTTAATGAGTGGAGGAATTGTACCTGCAAGCAGGGCCACGATGTTAGATGGCTATTAATGACGACGGCATGGTGGAGTTTTTAGGGATGACAGGTTATAAAAATCGCGCGGTGTGATCCAGGGTGTCTGAGATGATGGGCAATGAGAGGAAGTCTTCCCTAGGTCTTTGATGACTTCTTACAAGCTCAACTCCCCTCCCTCTGCCCAAGCTTCCAGGGCACTTCACAGCACATCTGAGAACAGGACTTCATTTTGCAAAGTACTGCTAGTACAGACACCTGACAGCATAAGGCACAGGCTTGGAGCTTACAAAAGCCACAGGAATTCACTGGGAATTAAGTGTCCCCTTGACTGTCACCCATGGTGCAATCTCTAAAGCTATTTGAAAAATGGAGCATCAAGAAGAACAATAGGTTTGGCAAATGAAAAGAAGACTGCGTGCAGGGAGACTGTACCAGATACTCTGGCCTAAAGAAATTTAGACCTTGTCATTTGATTATTCACTTGATTTTTTATCACAGCTTTAAATCTATTTTAAAAATTCCCATTTTAGGACACAGAGCTGCAGACAACTTTTCAAACAGGGCCCATCAGGGTTTATGAAGCAGCGACTTGCCGACCAGGCACTGTTAAACTATATCAGGAAACTCCGATTATTTAGAATTAGAAGAAAATACACAAGTAAAGTGAACTCTGCGCTATTTTAAGTCACTTTCTACCCGGAGGCTGAACACAAAAGGTTGCAGAGATCTGAACAGACATTCATGTTTTATGGGGTGCAGGTCTTGCCATTCCCCATTATGTAAGATGCTCCATCTCACTGCCTTTTGCATGTAAAATCGGGGCCAGAAAGTCAGTGCTTTAGGAAAAATAATGCAAAAATAAGATAATTTCCCCCTGAGCAAAAATGATCCTTCTCCTACATTTAGTAAGTAGAGCAGGGATAACAGAACCCTCGGCCCTCTAAGATCTGTGTCAGAGCCAAGAGAGGGTTCTTTCAACTCCACAGCATTTGGGGCTGGAAACCATGTTCCACAAATGCTCTGACACCAGGTAAGAGGCACGAAAGGGGTGCCCGTGAGGCTGGGCCTATAAACCTAGACAACACAAAGTCAAGTGCAAATGTTTGGTAAAGGAAGTAGCAGAAGAGAGAGTCAGATAAAGAAATGGAAGTCAGAAACTTGACTGGTGTGAATGTAAGGCTAACTGTTAATGTTTGTTTTCCCCCGAAATGAAAAGAATTCTTCAGGCAGATGTGAAAAAAGAGATATTAAAGCTATATATCCACATGATTGCTTCAAGGAAATCTGTCACCTTCTTCAAAGAAATACAAATATGCACCCTTATTTCTTGGTGCTATAATGTTATTTTGAAGTTTAGAGAATTAAGGGGAGCTCCCAGGACATTTTGTGCATTGTGACTCTGGATAAAGTGAGAACAGCAAATGCATTTTGGAAGAAATGCATTTAAAATCTGTGGAACACTAGCAAGTTGTAATTGCAGTTTCAAATTCTCTACATGAGTAGTTCCTAATGAAATTATCAGCTGTGAGCACAACCCCAGTGTGTGCGGTTCAGCCGAGGGCCCTGGCATCTATCCACAGTGGAGCACCACTGTGGGCTGGAGTGTGACCACAGATTAATAATCCAGGTGAGAAGAATGCCCAAAGGTGTCCATATGGCCAAGGACTTGGGTGAGCCCTTAAATGCTAAGTGCTTGATAAGTGTCAAAGTCCTTTGTTCTGTAAGAAAAGAAAACTAAACCCCATTGGAGGAGACACCTAGCTGCAAATGCTGCTCTGCTACTGATCACCTGCTCTGAATGAGGCCACTCAGAATAGAAATATTAAAGGCAGGAGGCCCTTGAAGGGGAAGGTTGCTCTCTGGGAGCCACATAGGCTGTTCTGGAGACTGGGGATGGAGTCAACTGCAGGGGCTGGAGCTGCAACACCAGAAGGACTTCCTTCCAGGACTTTCCTCTAGCCAGGGACTCAGGCTGAAAGTGTTAGAGAAGAGCCGAGCTCTGTCCAAGCAGGACTTTGGGAAGTAATGGCCTGGGGCAGGAGATGCAGGGGTGGGTTTGTACAATGTGCCATAGCAGGAAGAGCCGGCTCTGGGCCCACACAGACCACGGTCCAGCCTGCCCTGTGGGGAGTGAAAGGCAGTGAGGGGAGATAGGCTGCAGTTCCAAAGTTCTAATAAATTGCTGTTGGACTTTGCTTGCGATCAGAGCATCCCATTCTATCACTGCTATTCCACGCGTGCAATCAGCACTGAGAGACCTGCTGCTACCAAGGACTTTCTAAAGGGCTCACAAACTAACTTTTGGTGATGCTCCCTTGCAGCTTTGCTGAACTGGGCATTTGTGCAGATATCCATCAACATAGATTAAACATGACATATGCATAAACATATGGTTTATGACACTATAAACATGGGTAAGAATTTAAATGAAACGTTGAGATATCTTGCCTAGTTTCTAGAAGCACCTGCATGTGTGTGCCTGTTGTGTGCGTGAGTTTGCATATGCACACTAACACCTCTGTATCCTTCTGTTCGCCCAGTGGCCCTGCTTCTGCTCTCTTAAACGCTCCTTCAACATGGGACTCTGATTTGCACATGCAATTTAAGGGCTTAATGAAAGCAAAAAGAAAAAGTTGTTATGTGGATTGGGATGAGTGGGGGAAGGGTAGAAGACAACAAAAGCAATGTTAGCTCACAGTCATGGACAAAGGCACAGAAGCTGAGGTAAAGAATCCTTCAGCCCTCAGAGAAGTTACTCCTGCACCCAGACTTCTCAGGGAGAAGTCCTCTGCCCTCAGTCCCCTTCTTCTGAATACACAGCAGTGGTCATCTGGGTACAATGAATTAGGGACCACGCAGAAAGATGGCCCCAAAGCCTAATGGGCTCTGTGGGCACTGGGCACATTGTGGCAAGGATGAGTGTCAAATGGGAAAGCACACATGTGCATACCCCCCACCCCCCAACAGGAGGGCCACAAAGCCATCAACTTACTGCCATCGTAGTTGAGCGTGGCGAAGTTGGCCTGCTTTTCTGCACAGCCAGCACTGTTGCACACCCGCATCTGCAGCTCATACCAGGTGGCTTCCTGCAGGTCATACAGGATGTAGGACTTGGAGAGAGAGGTCCGCTGAGCTGTCGTCCAGACTGTGGTCCCAAAAGGCCTGTACTCAAGTGTGAAGGAGGTGATGGGGCAGCCGCCATCATTCCAGCCGATGAGGTTCAGCCTCACACGTGTGGTGTTGACACTGGCAAAGAGTTCCTGCTCCTTAGAGAACTGGGGCTCTGAGGGAGATGCAGTGAGGTCAGCTCGTGGCCAAGCAGATGGGTGCCCTACCGGGACTCCTGCATTTCCCTGGGCCATTTTCTCCATTAGCCCAAGACCTCAGATCAAATCCAAGTCATAGACCACTTGCAATTTGTCCACTGTTAATGGAGACTCCATGGACCAACAGGCTTTCTCAGCCATAATGACCCAAGTATGAGTGGGAGAACTTTGTGGGTATTTGTGTATATCACAGAGTTCAGGGAGAACAGGGTTGTCTTTCACATATGGAGTCCCTTAGTGATTCACATGCTGCGTTTTGTGTGTGTGTGTAGGAGGGGTGGCAACCATTTCTATTCTCAGGTGGGTGTACCTGACTCCAGAGAAAGGCAGAGTTGGATTTGGAACATATTTTTGGGACTCAATTCCCTACTAACCATGCATCCCATGGGCCTAATGGATATAATTCTGTATAAACCAACTTTTGTCACTGGAACTATACTGCTAGTTATCCAAAATGCAGACACTGGACCCAAACACCATCCCTCCCTCTCCTGCCATCTGAGCCCATCCCCTGCATCCCCCAATGAAATCTGTGAAGACCTCACTCCACCCGCTTTCTGCACTTACATACAGCTACATCCTTCCTCTTTTTTTGGCATTTCCCGGCTGCTCTTTTCACCTCTGGGTACCATTTCCTGAGGTTCATCTACTGTTATTTTAGGTGACAAAAAAACAACCCAACTCATGCTGAAGTGTTAACTCTCTGAGCCACTTCCTGCCTGAAAAGTGCAGCCCATGAGGCAAAACATATGAAAATTGGATGGATCAGGATATGGGGGTGACTAAGAGAGAAGTTCATCCAGAGAAGGGCAATGGGGACAAATGCCACATTTCATGCTGCTCAACCTTGGTACTCTTGTTGGTACCAATACCCTTTCTCTTTTGTTTAAAAAACATTTGTATTAGCATATATTAATTGTACAAAGGGGTTTCATTGTCATATTTCCATTCATACATATCATGTACTTTGATCAAATTCACCCCCTCTATTTGATTTCCAAGTGACGCTTTTCTTTGAACTACAAATGAAATAATGGGATGGAGAGCCAGAACGCTCACTGCATAAGAGCCAGGCAGCTTATCCTGCCATGACACCGCCTGGCCCATGTTAGAAATAGGCAAACATGCAAATGTATGATGAGTCTTTTAGGGCTCTGGATTGACAAATGGGCATCCATACCTTTTCCCAGTGTTTTGGCCTCTATAATCTCACTGATGCGCCCGGGCCCCACTCCATTCTGGGCCGTAAGCGTGAACTTATACCAAGTTCCGCACTTCAGATTCTCCAGACGGTAAGAACGCTCACTGGGGCTGATGGGGAAGCTCCCCCACTGCTCGCTGTTGTCCTCAGAGTACTGCAGGATGTAACCTTCAGAACACAAGACACGTCCAAATGAGCTGCCTTCGCTCTTCACCGAGATCTGACTGAGGTTTGCATTTTATGCAGGTAATGGGAAGAATAGTTCTTTGAGTGGGAACGTCTCTGAAGAGTACTCTTTAAATCTTCCTGCTTCTGGGAATTTTACCCCAGGGCTGTGATGAACTGATAAGCAAGGTTCTTATGCCACACCAGTGCAAATAGAACCGCTTGTCTGCTTTTTCCCCTTTAAAGCCATTTTGGACAGCAGGGAATGAATGCTAAGTCTCTTAGTAGACTGTGTCTGAACACTTGGGTACCAGCATAGGCTGAAGTTGAGTTAGTTTTGAAAGAATCAAAGCTGTGGATGAGGGAATGTTACCCATGGGAAGAGGATTGGGAGTCTCCTTGGTTACTCCCGTCCCTGTACTACTTGGCTGACAGTCACCATCACTAGAGAAATCAGCTCCAATTCCTGAAGCCATCCCAGCGTGGGATGCTAACCTGGCTTCTTATTGGTGGGAACAGTTCTTCCAGCATTACTTTCTCTGCATTACCGCTGCGCCTCCTACTTTTACAACTACCAACAGCAATTGTCCACTGGCTAGCACTGGCCTGAGCTCTTTGCTTATGCTGCCTCACGCAATGCCATGAAATACTTACTATCCTGTAGTACAGAGGAAGACACCAAGGTCCAGAGCGTTCTAGTGATGTCTCATTAGGTCCCTTAAGAAAGATTCAAATCCCACCATCTTTCTGAAGCCCTTGTCCTCTGCGCTATCATCACTGTTATCTGCAATCACCTTTCTAGGAGTAAACGTGTCCTCTCTTCTGTGTCGTGTCTCCTGAACACTCATGGCCATGTAGCCTAGGACTAGCCTGCCTGGTGCCTGGTGTCCTGGTCTTAATGGGGCATTTTCAATCCTGCCATGGGGAACTCCATTTTTAACAAAAGCAAAGCACTTCTCACCCTCCACACTTCAGTGTCTCCTTACCTCACCCCACCACCTGCATTTAGTGCTCTTCAGACCCATCACACAGGGGTCACACACTCTGCTTCCTCCTTCTGGGGTCAGGTCAGTTTCTTCCTACTCCTTCCATTCCTCTGTCCCCTTAGGCTCTGTGGAGCCATGGGCCCCACCTTGCTGAATCCCATTTTCTTTCCTTTGTGCTCCTCAAAACTCTTTCTAGTGTGCCTAAGACACTTATGCACCCTGTGTTTTGCTCACAACCCTGCACTCCAGCTGTCTCGTGTCCTGGGGACATTATCTAAGTCACCTCCATCCCCATGTGATGGGTCCACAATGTTCCCTGCTATTCCCCTGAGTGACGTCAGCATCCACCAGTGTGGGTGTGCCTGCCTTATGATGGCTTCCAGTGCCCATGGCTGAGGCCACCATTGTATGTCACTGCTGCCTGTCAGGGTGTCCTGTTACCTGCGTCTTGGAAACTCTTCATCAATAAAACTGCCTTGTCTCTAAGACCTTCTGCCCTGACATCCTTCTTGTCCTCTCCATCCTGTTTACAGAATCCAGGTTCTTTTTGTGATCTGTAGAAGTTTCTCGCCAGCCCTTGTAGAGCACTTCAGGGAGGAGTCTAGTCTCCCTCATTCTTCCCTAAATGGAGGCCACATTTATCTTGCCAGTCACCAGCTTTGGGGACCTGTGATCCACTCCTCTCCCCAGCTGCCCAGCATCACATCAGTTAATAAAGTTGTAATAATTGTGACCACTACAATGTGTGCTGTGTGACTGCAGCTGGGTGCTCCCGGCTGCTTAGCAGTGATGTTTTGTTCATCTCCTAATGACTCCCTGTGCATGTCACGTGGCAGCTGTTACCAATCTGTCCCACGTTTCCTCAAACCCACAGACACAGCTTCATCCCTAATCATCCAGCTATTTTTAAAAAGTAACCTCACCTTTTTCTTTCCTATAAAAAAAGAAGCTTCCCCCTCCAGCCAGTGGAGTGCTGATAACTGTCTACCAACTGGCTCTTGGAGAAAAAGAGAAAAGCTCGTTTTGTAGCACTTCTGATATCCAAGGTGTGTGACTTCTCCCCAGTGTGGCTGCAGAGCAAGATGCTGGAAAAGACAGGACACCTTGCCTACAGGAGCCGGAAGGAGCTGGCTGTAGCTTTCTATGGGTCCATCCTACAGGGTCTCCATTTGTCCACTTGTCTTCTCATTCTTCCTTGGCTCCCAGGAGACATGGGGGTCCCCTGCCTTTGGAGCCTAACCCTATCCTCTCTCACCTTCCCAGGGCTGTTTATGTGACTCAGTCCTTGTCCTTACACATCTTGTGCCTCTTCCTCAGGACAAACTCCCTTTCTTTGTGCACAGGTGCTCAGAATGACTCTCTAGCTCCACTTAGGCCAAAACGATCGTGGCACCTCATTCCTGAGTACCTGGCTTGCTCCTGCTTTTCTACTGCTTGATCAATGCAATCACTTTGCACATAGGTTTCTTCCCATCCCAAGTCCAGTCCTCTTGTCTCTGATCACTTAAGTCAGAACAGTAACTGGGGTTACTTGAAGGATTGATTCAGTGTTCACAAATTGGAGGAGAAACAATACCCAAAATCTTAGGAGAGAGTACCAAATTTTTTTCTTTTCTTTTGTTAATATTTCACTCAGACTAGATATACCAGATTCTTTTGTGAATGGGACTCATTGGATAAATAATTTGAGTTTCAACAAATATCCTACAAATATCTGTATAGTTTTTTGCTTAGGCAATGGTGTAATTAATTATATGATGTATGGGGGGTGGAGAACAGACTAACACAACAATTATTTGATGAAGATGTGTCACTTATTGGCCAGTAGATCATACATGCAATCCATCAGCGTCTGTGGGCAGCCTGAGTCTGATTACCTCTGATAGAACTGCCCCCATTGTCTCCAGGGAGCCAGGAAAGAGTGATGGAGGACGATGTGGTTTTGGATACAGTAAGCCGAGGTTGATCCGGTGGAACTAGAGAGGAAACAGGTTTTAGAAAACAAGAATTAGTTTCTCACACCTTTAATCTTCTGTAACAGTCATTTACCAAATCATTCTTAACAGCCATTTATTAAATACGTGTTTTAGGTTGCCAAAATATGCAATTCACTCCTGTCAAAATGTCTATTTCATTGATATCCTGGGCTAAAGAGATAGAACAGAGTGAATCTATTATTTGAGGAAAATTCAACCACATTTCTCCTTGGATTTATATCTAACTCATTTCCCCACAACTCCTTGAATTTCTGATTTGCTAATCACTACATGTTCTTTAAACTTACTAAGGATGAGTGCATTATGTTACTCTGAATTTCAGCTGTGAAATTCAAGAGCAAAAGATAAATGATACCCACTTAGTTGTTCTGCTTTCCTCAGAAAAGTGAAGGGGGAGAAGAGAAGAAGAGTTAAAAAATTCCTCATATTAACCAGGTGCAGCGGTACCTGCCTGTAATTCCAGCTACTTGGAAAGCATAGGCAGGAGGATTAAGAGTTTAGGACTGGTCTGGGCGAAGTTCCATCTCAAAAACAAAATACAAACAAAAGTGCTGGGGACACGGACCGGGTGGCAGAGTACTTGCGTTTGTGGGGACCTGGGTCCTCTACGTTATCACAAACAAACCCCAAAACGCTTTTTTAAGCTACTTCCCCAGGACACAACACACACACACACACACACACACACACACACACTCAGCTCTGAAATGAAAGGTGTGCCACTGAGCTGCAACCCACAGCTAAACACTCATGCAAGGCCTGAAGGACACACGCACTTCTGAACAGGGGGCTCTGAGGACAGAAGCACTGAAGAAATTCAGAATCAAGACATCCAGAATGTTGGAAAGCCTCTCTCAAAATACCTTCTCTTTTCCTGTTATGCACAAGAAAAAAGCCCATCTCTTTAGGATCATAATACATTATCTTCCAAAATGCCCTGGATTCTCCTGACTTCAATTAACTTGAAATTCAAGATCGTGTTCACGGTATTTGTTAATATATACAGTTCCCTCCTCCCTTCCAATCCCACGGAGAACAGTATTGATTTTATTTTTATTTGCTGCAGTCTGTTCATGTGATGAAACCTAAATCCTAAGAAGCACGTGGTTTGACTTTATTGTAGTAAAACATTATCATACACCTAAATCGGAACACAGGCAATGGCTGTTTGAGCTTAATTTTAGTATGACAGTCTTTAGAGATGAATTTTTTATATTTTGTGTATAGATAGATAGATAGGAACAGTTAAATACCTTGCTTTAGATGCACAGTTAACTAGTATAACAATACATTTAGAGTTTCAGTGAGTGCCCTTTATATATTCATATATACATACTCATAAATTGCATACAAAATTGATTTAATTAGAAGGCATAAAGATCACTGTGCAAAATTATTTTTCATTTGTTCTTTTTCAGTAACATACTCAAATTGGTGGAAGTTACTACAAGGGCTCTTTTAGAGACATTCACAGACTATTAGGTGTTTTATATGCAAAAATAATACACTGCATATATTATCTCTGGAGTTGTGAGTGCTCCTATCTTCTGTGATTTCTTTAATTATATTTTCCAAAATGAACATAACTTTTTTTTGCAACATGAAAATAGCAATTAGCTT